CATCAGCATACTCTCACAGTTCAATAATGATAAATAAGTCAGCTCTCCCTCTCCTCCCTTCAACCACTCTTGTTGCCATTGGTGCGCACACACACACACACACACACACACACACACACACACCCCTCTGCTTTTCATTTACCTACCAAGATCACTCTTAGTAGTAATGAATGAAAAGTATGTGGGCTAAAAGCCTTAAGTTACAGATGATCATCATGTGTAGAAATTTCATCTTAGAGTACCAATTATTTTTGTCATCTTGTTCATGTGTTTTTAGCTTCACCAACAACTGAACACTTATTCTCATTCAGCTTTAATGGACCACCATACAAGAATATTATGAGATCAAGCATTAACCTGAGAATATCTCATGTGCAATCATAACACTGCAATGTACTCAGTCTGAAGCAAACAGAAATAAGACAAATATAGAGAAGATTAGAAAATATTTTACATTTTATACTGACAGTAATTCAAGAAGTAAACACTGGCAACATGGGTACTAGTGCTATATTGGTCAGGACATCCAAAAAAATTACTAACCTTAACATCTCAATAATCACCTGCCTCCCAAAATTCCTAAAATGCCTTAAAAAGCACACCCAAATTAAATCAAATGCTCTTCTTGAACCATTTGGAGTAAATTACAGTTTAAAACCTGAAAAATACCTTAAAACTCTTTTTTTTCACATCCTCGTTTCTTCATCACATAGTGGCCACCAAAGAAGTAAATGGTGTCATGTCAATAAAAAAATGTTTTCCTTTGTAATCCCTGATACTATTTGTTGTTGACCCACAAACCCAACACACTGACTTAAAGGGCTACACATCTGTGATGTCAGAACAAGAATCAGAGCTAAGTGGCTTGTTCTTCAGTCAATCAAATGATGCAGCTTGTGGGCAGGTCATATGGACCTTCATTGACATTATTGGCCGTAAAAAAGCCACAGAACAACCCAGTTGGACAAAACCTTTGTCAATCAAAACAGGAGAACCTACTGAATCAGTTTCACACCCTCCTATGTAAATTAAAACATGCCAGATGTATATAACGCCCATCGACCTGGAGCTGGATCAGGGAGTAAGAGGTTAAACATAATTGAAAGTCTTAAGCTAAATGCGGAAACAATATATATATTGTGTAAGTTAAAATAACTTACACTGGTAAAACATTTTTTTTCTTTTAGAGCCAAGGGATTGATTGGGTATGATTTTACAATGAATAAAATTATAAAATAATAGAATATTATAGAATAATGTAAGATTGGGTGCCGCAAATCAAAATTAGCCGGTCAGGAGGGGCTGAATAGCCTTGAGAAGCTACCCGCCTAGGAGAAAGGAAACTCTGACTTGGATGGCAAGTTGACACATACTTTTAAATTGAATGGACAAGGGGCTGGTACCTCTGGCCTGTCTGGTAGGGAATCAGGCTGTACAGTGACTGAAACAACCTTAACTCTGGCCTCGAGACCTGATGCTAATGTGTTGGGCTCTGGACAACCAGAGGGGTTTTTTACAGGGAGTACCCAGTGCAAGTGTAGCTCCTTGACTGCACCCCATCGGGGAACAGTCACTGATTGAGAAAAGGGTCCTAGTCTTTGTGGTTTTAGGGATGATGGAATTCATACAGACCAACTTGCATTCATGTAAAGATGCCAGTACACTACTGTGTACCTGCAGTAGAACGATACATACAGGCATAGCCTTCATCCAGGAACTTTAGATAGTAAAGTCTATGGTACGAGGCATGAAGCAGCCACAGACCCAGAGCAACAGTAGCCCTGACAAGAGGCGAGATACACTGCACTGTCAAACATATTAGAAGAGGATGCTGTAGCAGTGTATTTGAACATTCAGTTAAATGACGAATCCAAACCAATCATTACAGCCTATGCTTATCTGCCATTTTATTTACAGCAACTACCTCCATCACAAGAGTTTATGGCAATAGTTGATTATGTTAAAGATAAAGGCCTCCCAGTACTCATGTGGACATGTCTCCCAATCATTTCTACTGTTTTACAGATGATCCCTTCTAAAGGGGTCATTATGTGCAAGGGTGATGATTTTGCATAGTGTGAGAGAGTAGATACCTACCAGGTGGTTTTGCAACTGTATCTTTAGATGATATATTTGCAATCCAAAAGTTTGTGGCATCTTTCAAAGACCTTTAGTGTACGTACATTGAAGGAATGTTTTTTTACTAACAGATATTCAAGCTGTTATTAGAGCTCTCCAAGCTCCACATTACATGTCATTACTGGCTTGGGAGTGTGCCAAAGCCGTCAACCAACTGGGGAGCGATAACAGCGTTACTGTTAAATGGGTACCAGGACATACTAGCAAAAAGTGTAACAAGAGAGCTGACTACCTTGCAAAAGCTGGCAGTCAGGCTGACTTCAAAAGGACCAGAGCCTGTTGTAGGTATCTCAATAACAGTCTGTAGGACTAACCTACAGGCCTGGATTAGATGTCAACACCCAATCTGCTGGATGGAGCTGACAGATAGTGCTGGGTATCGTGGCCAATTCCCTAAAGTGGTTTTATTTCAATTCACAAGGCTCTGAATCAATTAATCACAATATGATTCATTTCGATTCAATCTCTTAAATAATGAAAATGGTTCAACTGTGTTGCAAAATACAAATTTACTTTATTTTTTTCTCTTCACTATAAACAACAAGCTTTAAGGGGAAAATTGTAAATTGGACAGTTTAACTTTGAACTGCAAACAAAACTGTCTTAAAGGGGCAATATCATGTAAAATCAACTTTTTTGAGTTTTATATCATGTTATACTGTTATACTCTCAAAAAAACCATGCCAAAAGCCTTGCTTTTACTAATTCATGCATTTTTGAGAAATCCTGCAGTGTTTTTAGGAAGCCATGCTGAGGAGCAAAATGACAGGTGGGGACCAGAAATGCCTTTTGGGGCCAGTAACGCCTCCGGGCTGTGTCTCCAAGCCGAGCTTCCTCATCACGGAGCACACCTCCCCACCTCCCACCCGACACACCCCACCCATGACTGGCCCTTTAAATCTCAAATGTGTTTACATCAGAAAGACAGAAAGAAGTGAAAGTACCTAAAAAACATTACATCACCGTACATTTCATTAAAGCATTGTTTCTTAAAGTATAAAAATAATAATAGTGGTTTAAAAAATTATTTTGCTAGAATGTCATTTTTCACACATTTATACATGCCAGAAATAACATTTTTAGTCAGATGTTTACATTTCATAGTTTGGTTCGAGCACCTGAACGAGCCCTTGAGGCCTTTGTTTTCCACTACTGAGTATGGGTGTATTTTTTTTTCAAACTAAAACTGTCATAGGGTGTATTCAGACCAGGAAAGGCTGATGATCATTGCTCCCACTGGGCAAAAAAGGACGGGAGCGGGACTGAGCACAGACCCACAGGCCCTACTGACAGACTGTAGACAAGCACAGGAGCTGAATAACGGCCCAAATCTTAGGTTTGGGAAAGCTTTCATCGCCATGACAAGGAAATTTTTAAGTACACTGGTTGGAGTTCTAATAGGACACAATCTGCTCAACCACCACAAAATGGTGATGGGACTTCATGACAACGTCTGTGCAATGCCTGTGGCCTTGAATTAGAAACCTTTTTGTACTACTTAGGCCACTGCCTGACAGTCAATGGAAAATAATTCTTAAACTCCTTTATAGATCCCAAGAAGCTTAGAGCACAGAGTGTTTCAAACCTTGTGCCCTTTAATCGGAGAGACACAAAGGTTTGACTAACCTTCACTGTCCTTTTGGGGAGAGCAATGGGCCTGCTTACAAGGTCCCTGCCTCATGAGTAACAATAACCGAGATCAGTGTTGTAAATATTCTAAAGATTGAGTGAATTCAACATTGAAAAAATGTGACTGGTAGCCAAACCTTGCTGTGGTAAAAGGGAAAAAAAAGACCAACTAAACAGAGGCATCAATGAAAGTTCTGATAGATGCACATACTGGAAAATAAATTTATTCTTACTTTGTCAATTTTATGTCATTTGTCATTTTACATGGTTCATTTCAGGCCTGCAAAACATCCAAATGGTTGTCCAAAAAGGAACCATAAAGCAAAAACACCAAGGAATGAAGGATTTTGGGTAACGTATTATACCAATTGTCCCTGTGTGTGACTTACTCACACACAGGGACAATTTAGAGTTGCCAAATAACCTAACATGCTAGTTTTGTATTGTGGGAGGAAACTTGGAGTTTCCAGAGAAAACCCACACTTGCTCAGGGAAAATATACAAACTCCACAGATACAAAGGTATTCGATCCTGCAACCTTTTCCTCTACTAAATGAGCCACAGTGCTGCTCCTTTACCATTTTCTATTTATGCATTTATGTTTCTTCAAGTTAAATTTCCTCATTCAGTGAATTATGTTTAAAATTATATTTACTGGGGAACCAAAACCACAACTTTGCCCACCCTAAATAAATATTGAAAATGCAGTTGCTTCAATTGCTTTATTGCTCAAGGGAGTTCAAGTTTTTTATGATTCCCTATTCACTGGAGATATGTGTAAATTTGAGTTAGTGTGGAACCAAATAAAGTTTTATCTTATCTTGTGACAAACTAATGCAAAGAATGAAGTTGAATTAAAGTGTAAAAGCAAAAAAAAGGGAAGATTTGTTTTTCTGTTTGTGTTTGCTGCATCTACCGTGTGTCTGGAGGGTCCTAATTGCTGCTGAGGTCAGACTGCTGAGCAGTAAAGGGTTGTGTTTGATGCAGGTAAGTGTGTGTGCATGAATGTGTGTGACTGCTCTGCATGCCCTTGACTTGCAGCTGGCAAAACACGCTTTAGGCCGCCACAGCTGCCTCATCATTACTGTTCACAGGGATCCCCTGCCATACACACTCGCGCACACACACACACACACACACAGAAACGCACACTCACACAATGTGAGACTTAGTCACAGCTACACAGGCACAGACACAAACAGGCACACGCAGACATACACAGAGACACTCACCCCTTCCCGCAGGCTCCTCATTAAGCCAGTGTAGGCGGCAGCGGGAACGAACCATAGTCCCTCTGGGGAGTCTCTCTTCTCCTCCTGATAGAGAGGCATGGAAAGACAGGGAGGAAGGGTGAGAGGGGAGGGCATGCAGTTGGGGGGGTGGGGCAGTGGAGGAGTAGAGTGGAAATGAGAGAAAGGCAGACAAATAAAGTGAAGGAGATGCAAGTAGAGAAGAGTGAGGAAAAGGGCAAGAAGGGGCCAAGTCAGAGAGGGGAGCAGGAGAAGTCAAGACATCTTGATTACATGGTTCATCATCCCTGTGAGCTACATGCTCCACACCCATCTCAATAACATCCACCAGATCTTTTTTTGTTTGTTTGTTTTGTTAGTCAAAATGTGTTTTTACAACTTTATTTTTTATCCATTTTTGTACATCACACTAAAAAAACATTTACGCATTAACAGAGAAAGTAAAAAAAAAAAGTATTGTGTTGTAAGTGTCAAGTAACAAAATGCAAATATTTGGTTACCTTACTAAAGTAGACACTTTGGTTATCTATAGGGGCATCAATTTTCTTACTTTTGGGAGATCGGCCGATCCTTAGATAGGATCGGTGGAGAAGATCGGCAGAAAAGATCAGCTTTTCTACTTCCACAAAGATCTGAAAATCAGACATTATCCACTGTTGCTCTGCTGTGAGCACTAATATCCAGTTAAAACAAGTTTGTATTCAAGGGTATTTTTCAAAGTATTTCGGTAAAATAACGTTTTGAACATTGGAGTTGTATTGTGACTTTACATCTGACAGTGTCAGCTATTTAATCAATCGGAACTGGCAGGTGAGACTTTTTAAAGATCAGAGATAAGCATAAAAATGGAATTGGTGCACCCCTAGTTATTTATACTTTACTATTATAATTACAGTGGTTTGCAAAAGTATTCATACCCCTTGAACTTTTCCATATTTTGTCACATTACAACCACAAACATAAATATATTTCACTGGAATTTAATG